CGCAAGGAATTCATTTTGATGAGAAAAAGTGTGCAGCTAAGTACACCACCTTGTGGCACGCCTGTTTCCTGGACAAATGTTTGGGAAAGAATCGTGCCCACTCGGACACAAAATGTCCGGTTTGACAGGTAACTTTCGATTCTGTGAAACATTCTTCCGCGCACCCCAAGGTGGGACAGGTCTCTTAGAATTCCAAAACGCCATATTGTATCATGAGCCTTTTGAATATCGAGGAACACAGAGAGAAAATATTGTTTATGGACGAAGGCGTCTCTGATCTGTGCCTCGATACGAACAAGGTGGTCTGTGGTAAATCTACAGCTCTCGAAACCCGCACTGAAATGGGTCGAGCAAATTGTTTGTTTCAAGGAAATATACAAGTCGGCAGTTTATCATTTTTTCGAAGACTTTGCACAGGCAGCTTGTAAGGGCAATAGGCCTATAACTCGAAGCTAAAGAAGGGTCCTTGCCTTCTTTCAAAATGGGAATAATAATAGCCTCTTTCCAGGCGGTAGGAATAGTGCCTAAAAACCAGATAGCATTGTACAAACAAAGTAAGGTTTTTCAGGTTTCGATTGGTAGGTTTTTTAACATTTCAGACACCACACGGTCAGAACCTGGGGAAGAAGTACTGCAGGAGTTTAGAGATGTTCGGAGCTCAGCTAGACTGAAAGCTTGGTTATATGCCTCGTATCTAGTGCATTTGTGTTCGAGTTTCTGTTTTTCTATTCTTGTTCTGTATCTTTGGAAAGTGTCAGTATAGTGGGACGAGTGGACACATGTTCGAAGTGTGCACCGAGAAAGTTTGCCTGATCTTCCAAGGTATCACCCTGAGTGTTTACGAGTGGAAGTGTGTGTACTTGTTTTCCTGCTATCCTACCGACCATGTCCCAGACTTTAGCCTCCTGTGTGTATGAAATGATCCCTGACAAAAACTTCTGCCAGCTTTCTCTTCTGGCCTGCCGACGCGTTCTCCTGCCTTGAGACTTCATTTTCTTGAAGGTGTCAAGATTTTCGGCTGTCGGTGAGTTCCAAAGCAACCTCCAAGCTCTGTTTTGCTGTTTGCGCGCGTTTCGGCATTCATAGTTCCACCATGGCACACGCCGTTTTCCAGGGTGTCCATTTGTTTGTGGGATGCATTTTGTTGCAGCATCAATCAAAAATGCTGTGAAGTAGTTGACAGCAACATCAATGTTCAAAGTACATAAGTCATTCCAACCTAGATGAGCGATGGTATAAAAATGTTCCCAGTCAGCTCTGTTTATGAGCCCCTTGGGCACAATTGGTGGGCACTCAGTTACTGTAGTTGTGCTCAAAACTACGGAGAATAAGGTCACTTCCGTACAGATTACTGACGGCTTTCCACTGGAGTAGAGGCACAAGAGATGGAGATACTATGCTTAGGTCTATGGAGGAGTAGGTGTTATTAGCGAGATTATAATAGGTTGGTTCTTTTCGATTTAAGAGACACGCGCTCGACGAGAGAAGGAACTGTTCAATCAGTCGACCTCGCGCGTCATACCGAGAGTCACCCCATAGCCTGCTATGCGCATTAAAGTCTCCAAGGAGAACATAAGGCTCCGGAAGTTCATCAATTAAAGAGTGTAAATCACGTTTTTGCAGCTGATAGCTAAGAGGAATGTAAATAGTGCAGATTGTGATCAGTTTATCAAAAAGAACCGCTCGAACAGCCACTGCCTCAAGGGATGTTTGGAGTTGTAAGTGTGTGCATGCAATTCCTTGATTCACTATGATGGCAACACCTCCGGATGATGTCATGGCATCAACACGGTCCTTTCGGAAAATAACGTATTTACGAAGAAAATTTGTGTGTTTTGAATTAAGGTGTGTTTCTTGTACACACAGCACTTTTGGTGAGTGTTCGTGTAAGAGTTCTTGGATGTCGTCGAGGTTTCTGAGTAGGCCCCTGACGTTCCATTGTATAATTTGAGTGTTCATGGTGAATGTAAAATAGTGCTGTGTGTATGAAAAGCAAGTGGCTGTTTAGACGGGGAGTTTGAGTTCACTTAACAGGGCCATCACCAGGCCCTGTTATCTGCTTTTTTGTTTTCTTGGCGCGCTCCAAGAAGCCACGCCACTCTTTCGGCACCAAGGGTACCGACGTATCCATTGCCTCCTCGGAGGCACTATATGCCCACGCATGCGGGCTGTTAGTTCGAATTTCAGGCCTCGCCTGGTGAGGTGAGGCCTTGAGACCCGAGGACTCTGGAGTCTCCGGTCTCTGTTTGGGAGTAGGCGGTGTAGAGATGCCCGCACATGCGGGCTGTTAGTTTGAATTTCGGGCCTCACCTGGTGAGGTGAGGCCTTGAGACCCAAGGACTCTGGAGTCTCCGGTCTCTGTTTAGGAGTAGGCGGTGTAGCCTGGGCTACAGCCGCCTTGGGGGCAGGTGCCACAACCGCCGGCTCGGTATGCGCGGGCCGAAGGAGTGGCGAGGGCTGGTGCGGCGGTGCCCCCTGACGCACCGCATCAGTGTATGTAGGTCCATAGAATGGTGCTACTCTTCGCTGCGCTTCCTTAAATGAAATGTTCTCCTTCACCTTCAATGTAATTATTTCTTTTTCTTTTTTCCAGTATGTGCAGGAGCGTGAATATGCGGCATGGTTTCCTTCGCAGTTTACACAGTGTGGCGGTTGTTTGCAGTTCTCAGACACGTGGCCTAGGACTCCACAATGTGCACAAGTCTGGCGACCACGACAGGTTTTAGAGCCATGGCCATACCTCTGGCATTGGAAGCAACGACGAGGGCTTGATATGTACGGCCTGATCAATGTCTTCGTGTACCCTGTTTGAATAGATTTTGGTAGTTTACTGGATGCAAACGTGAGTATTAAGTGTTTTGTCGTTGTTTCCTTATTATCTCTTCTGATGATAATTCTCTGTACATTAGTGACATTCTGGCTCTTCCACTCCTCCAAAAGTTCAGTTTTGGTCAGGTCAAGTAAGTCTGCGTCAGATACCACTCCGCGAGTTAGGTTCATAGATCTGTGTGGTGTTACGGTTATCGGTACGTCACCAAATGTTGAGAGGCTGTCTAGCTTTACAAATTCTTCTTTGTCCCGAATTTCGAGGAGAAGGTCTCCGCTAGCCATTTTGGTTACTTTGTATCCAGCCCCGAAAGTTTCAGTAAGACACCTGGCAACTACGAATGGAGATACGGTCCTGGCTTGCTTTCCAGTTTTCTCGCAGTGAATGACATGGAAGTTGGGAAATGTTTCTTTTGGCTGGTTGAAAAAATTTATATCATCGGTGCGTACCCGCTTCAAGCCGGTACGATCAGACAGTAGGGGGAATGCTCCATGCATGCCTGTCTTATTTTTGTTCAGCAGTGTTGCCAGGCCACCCACCACGAAGCCCAACGAGGGGACGCTACAAGTTTGCGCATGCTGAAACCTGCAGATGCCAGCCGTGCAATGCCACTATAACCCAATGCACCTAGGCCAAGGTAGGCTATTTGCACAGGGTTAACCCTAGCCGCCAGGAAGTTTGGAAGTAAACGGAAGAGACTAGAGGACAGGACAGATAAAAAATGAGAGATAAAGACGAAGATGTAGGGAGAGAGGGAAAGGAAAAGGGGACTGCCGATTTCCCCTGAGTGGGTCAGCCCAGGGGTGCCGTCTACGTGAAGCCGGGGCCAAAGGGGTGTGTTGCCTCTGCCGGGGGGCCTTATAGATCCAATCACCCAGCGTCGGCTCAATCCCCAGGATCCCTTTTTCCCTGGACACGGCAAAGCCACGCACGGCTAGGCGTGGGAGGGAGTCAAAACTCCCCCGTTAGCTCGGGTCCGTGGTGTCGCTACACACCAAACCCCTATTTGCGCAGGCGTCCCTGCGGGGCGCATTTACGGTTAACAGCCATCAAGCGGTAGGTGGCAAAGTGCTCACGTAGGGTTCATCATTATTGTTATGGTTAGCGCAGTAGCGCGAGCAGTGACGCCTGGCAGCGAGACTGGATGGCAGCACAGAAGACACGAGGAGCTCTCCTTGGCACGTGGCAGCTGGCATGAAGGTCGTTTCTTGACGGGGTCCCGTGGGATGCAGCGACGACGGGTCGCACCCTGTGTGTGCCTAACGGTGAGTTGAACATCAGCGATGTCACCTTTGTCTTACCTTGTGTTTGTACTTATATTGATTGAGTACATTGGAATATTGTATAAGGTTGTTTTAGCATGTCATTATTGATGTATTTGATTTGGCTGACGATATTGTGGGTGCAAAATTAATCTAATAAATGCACACAATGTTTTGGTTTGCCCGACCGTGTCGGCTGTGTCCGTTTGCTCTAAGAGCGTGTTGCCTCATATTAGACCCCACCCTACATTACACAGATTTCTAGCATTTTGCCTCTGTAATAATCCTTTGTCTTATTAGCAATGGGACAGAAGCAGCTATTGTAAGCCCTCGTAACAGGAAAAGTGACTACAGTGGCATCGTTAGTGTCAGCACCTCCACGAAAATAGACATAATCACGTACTGAAGAGCCATAAACAAGAGAGAAACAAATTGGTCACCTTTCGAAAAATCAAAACCAGGAAGCTATTAGTTTTTCAGTCATAACATATGGCAACAGGCTGAAAAAGAAAGCCGAAGTTAGCCAGCCCAATGCAGTAGTAAAGCATTAACAAAAAAAAAAAAAGAAATAGGAGAAAGGCCATGACAACAATGCAAGGAAAAAATTCTACGTATTCACACAGTCTGACGGCACAGGCCAAGCAAGAGAAACGACAGAAGAAAGCATGCATTTTGAACATACAAACATTGATGTGTAGGTATATATTTGACTGTTTTATGGCTGTTAGTGGATGATGTACTTATCAGATCGCCAGGCCCTCATTATGGGAAAATGGGTGTTAGAACTAGCATGTCCAATATGCTTAAGGTACCACCTGTAACAACTGAATTTTGCATCATGCAACATCATGCAACCTGACAAAATTATGAACAGCGCTGTGTATGTTTGTGAGTATTGTTATATTGCTCACCACAATGTGATCGCCCTGCAGCAGGACCGCAGGAGCTACAGTTGCTGGCGATGACTGGATGCTTGGGCTTACTGCACTCATGCCCAATATCTCGGTGGGGTCCGAATCTTCTTCCTCATCCTGTGGCTCTGCCAAGTCCTATCAAGGATGAGACGCAGGGTGTGAAACCGAACAAGTCACACATTCTCCCGGTAAGCTGTGCTATTCCATCCCAAAATTTCTCTTTAGCTGAGTTCTAAATAATTTATATACATAAAGGAAAAACATCAAACAGTATAGAATGACTCAGGGCTCCGTTTTTACACCAAGCCCTATCTGCTGTGAAGTCATGCAAAGCCTCACCCTAGGGGAGTCCGTAGAGTACATGTCTTCAGCTGCCTGATGCGTCTGATATTCGTCATCTTCCTCCTTGACCTCACCATCAGACACGTCTTCTTCCTCTGCCACCATCACATGTTGCTGGTGCTGCATATGCCAACTGCTTAGGAACCATGCATCAGAATTAAAATCACTGACACTAGGTTGGTAGTGGATTGCGAGAGCTACTGTAGAAAAAAGTTTGCAAGCTTAAGCATCCTTGCAAGGAAGGTTTAGCTCAGAGCTCAGTTCTGTTATGCCTATTCCCTATTCAAATGCACGCGAAGGGCAAAGGATAGAACTGCTGCTGTTATACACCAATTTGATTGTATCCTAATGAGATGCCTAAAACACTACAAGAAGAACACAGAAGTACAAGGAAAGAGTGTAACTCTCAACTGATTTATACGGAGAAAAAAAAAGTGCAGAAAATATATATGCCGCACCACGCATGCACAAACAGCACTGCCTCACGTTGGACTCCCATTAAACGAAACTTGGTTAAACGAAAAAGCCGCACAGACGAAACTATCTAGGCATAATTGGTTGGTCTCCTATATATTTAACAATAAAAAGTTTTGGGTAATTGGAACATTTTTCATAGCTTTCATCGATTAAATGAAACTAAAACAGCCAAAAGCCATGAATGGTGAAAGTGGCAACGGCAGTCTAGCAGCCATGAAACCAGTGTCAAAGCTAGCTTAGCTAAGCTAATCCAGCAATTACACATGTCCGCGCACACCAAGAAACAATCGACGTCTCGTCGTGAACTCGAGGAGACAGTCTTCAGGAACCTATAGCTCAAGTTCAAGATGAGGACTTGTGCTCAAGTGGTAACGAGATGATGTGTGATGCCAAGCCTATTTCAGTGGCTGACAGTGCAGCAAGAGATGCCGTCATCCTGTTTCAGCGCTACTTTGACCACGATGGTAGCACAGTTCCTGCCCAGCCTTTCAGTAATGCACTCCTACTATGTGAGATAGGGCTTGACCAAGGCCAAGCAAATTGTTATCACCTCCTTTTTTTTTTGTGTCAGCGATATTAGCAACATTTTTCTTTCTAATCAACTATAGTAGTATTGTGTACTTCAAAATGTTTCTGTTCAGCCAGCCACAGTTGGTGCTTTTGAAATAAAGCCATATTTCATTCATTTTGTGGGCTTTGCTTAAATGAAACTTCTCTTTAATGGAACAAATTTTCTTGCCCTTTCGATTTCTGTTGAAGAGGAGTCCACTGTACCTATATTTACACAGTCATAACTAGCTAGTCAAGCAATAAAGAGCGAAATTTAAACCCAGATGTGCTCAAAACCACTGATGTGTCACTCATACACAAGTTGCCTTTTTTCTTTATCCAAAATGCTTCCATTATTTCCCGGGCAAGAGCATCTGAGATCTTGGCAAGAACAGAAATGCTTGAAAACCTTGTTTTACAAGAACAGGAATGGCAGTGGGCAGGCAAAAGTGCTGCCAAATTTTTTGGAAGTGACAGCTAATGTTCCCTAACTCTCGATTTTCAAATACCGACTAGTTTAGCCAATGTAAACCTGACAAGAGTAAGCAAGATTTCGTACACGACATCCACAGGGCAATACATATATGTCAAAGCGTGTTCGTGTTTGTTCCCACAAGTGGGAGTCTTCGGTGGTTTATAAATACGTGGGCATAGGCCAGCCAATTTATGTGGCACAGAAAAAAACTACAGCAGGGGTGGAAACGGCTTCAGTAATTTAGAGCAGCTTTGGGAACAGGAATAATGCGGTTCTGGAGCAGTTTTGAAGCAGTAAAAAGGGAGTTTTGGAGCAGCGCTGGAGCACCAAAAGATATATTGTGCGGCATTGAAATTTAGTTTTGGAGCCGATTTCACAGGTGACACGTCACTGTTAATTACAATTTTTCACTTACTCAATCATGTGAAAGATGTCAGTACTTTTTATTGAGCATGCCATGCTAATCAAGGGACCAGACTTACCCTAAATTGATATATATTAAACCCTACAACATCAAAGCTCAAAGCACAGCAAATAATAAAAAAAACATAAGCAGCGCTGTGGACAGCTACTAGACCTCAGATGAATGAAAAACTTTAATGTTAAAATGTTGCAATGTTCAAAATGTGATTAAACACTGCATCTAATGTGAACAGCAACTCAAGACTGGAGATGAGCTAATATAATAAAAGTTATATTTATAGCAAACCAATTGGGCACCAGAAAAATTAATGCAAAAAACTTATGTTCCTGTCATTGAAGTGCCACAGCCGACATGAGAACCGCGAGAAAATTTAGATCTGCTCGCTGCGCCATTGCTATGCAAATAAGAAAAAAAATTATTATTACGATATGATTTTATGGACACAATCAAATGGTGCTGTATGTTCCGCGTAAACTAGAAGTTGGTAACATTCCCCTTGCACCGTACATTCAACCCAAGAAAGATGGCGCAAGCTGGGCTGGTGAGAGCTGCTCAAGCAGAGATTAAATGAGGGGACCGATTTCTGCGACTCGAAGGGGGCACGCGATAGCATCCCACCGCGTATTATACCTGCTGTCGAATGCTCAAGCAGAGAGGCAGGAAACAAGTCGCCCCTTTTGAACGAGCATGAATATATACGGGGAAAAGAGAGGGGGGTTCGCTCGAGCTGAAGCGGTGAACTTCGATTATAAGGACGTGGTTGCCATAGCTGGCGCATGCGCTATCTGCAAGCATCAGCACACAGCTCGTAAACTGTTGTATGGGGTGCTCAACTGGAAAAGATTGTGTGATAAGAGCATTTCTCTCTGGAGCGGTCGTACTTACTTACATTGAAATCTCAGTAGAATGAACCCCACGTTAACAAACTTTTAAGAAATTCTATGCCGACTACTAATACTTTCAATATAAAACTATTTTACTACTACGTACTTTAGAATACCAAACTTTCCAGAATAACGAATGTTAATTTAGTTTCGCATTATATTAGCAACGCCTCAGTACTAGAAACTCATGTTCTGAAATCCGTCGCGACCACCGGAGCGGTACGCAAGCAGACGACAAAGCGAACGGACGCCTTGCTTCTCGGAAGACGAGCGACACTGCGGAAGGGGAAAAAAAAAAAAAAATGAAAGGACGACTTTCTTCTTTTTCTTTTTATTGAAACACTGATGTTGCAGGTTTACAAGCACAGAGGCGAGGGGCGAGGAGAACACGGGAGTGCAAGGTTAGCAAGGCAGAGTGGGAGTTGGGGAGCAGGAAGCATGGGCGCAGAAAATCTGAGACAGCGAGGGAGCAAAAAACGAAGCGCGAAGAATTTCCTTTTTTTAGCACTTTTTTTCGGAAGAGGCGATAACAGCCGGGACCCTTCAGATGTGTCTTTCTTTGTCACTTCTACATGTGCTACCTAGGATGCCAATCCTAGGTATTTATCTCTAGATCTAGAGATTTTCAGCAGCTTTTAGGAATTTGGTGTCTTTTTCATTTAATCTAGTTTTTTTCTAAGGCTCTATAAATGTGACATTATGTGGCCTGATTAAAGACATTATTAAGTGATCAGGCTCTTTTAACTATAACGAAATTAGGATATTTCTTGTTTTTTATTTAGGAGTGTCTCAGTGTTCTTATAAATCTTGTGAAAGGAATACCAGTTTTGTAACAAGAGATTATTACAGTCTGTGGGAAATTAAACTCTTTAGTAGTAAGAGCTAAGTAGGTGCATATCATGAGCTCCCTAAGTTATTGCTGCACAATAAAAGAAAGATAAATTTTGTGTTGTAGAGCATATAAACATGTGTGAAGATTATGCCCTACATGCCTTGGACGAACTATGTCTCCATGTGAAATAACCAGGAATGTTATAGAAGAACAGAGCGAAAGTAGGACTCACGATTTGGTGAGGTGGTACAGACCATACAAGTTCAATATTGTGTAAACGGTGTGATGAAAAAGGCAAAAAGACTGTTCAAGTGTTTGAGCCTTACTGTCATGCCGTTTACATGAGAGGAAAAAATTTATGAATTAATTTGGCCAAACAGCGAGGTGATCAAAAGTACACAGGGAAGGAGCAGCCATCAGCCAGTAATAGTGTGCTCACTAACATCTACTGAAAATGTTGCAACAGTGATTGCATATGTGGGAAATTAAGAAAAAAGTACCAGCTGTCAAGCTGCAAGTACAAGAAAGGCGCTACAGAATTGCAGTTGAACTGAATGGCAACATATATGTCTTCAATGCATGTGCAAAATGAATTTGTCATGCAAATCTGTCTCTGTGGCAACGGGTGCCATTTGAAAGGACTTCATATGCAACTCCACAGAATGAATCAAAAAAAGACCCTAAATGAAGGTTAAAGATGATTTGTACTTTCAACAAGATTCTGAACAACAAGTGGCCACAAAGCGCACTATCTTAATACTTTGTTAGGAGTCAATGAACCTGAATAATGGCATTAAATTATAATCTATGGATTAAATCTAGGCATTAAATTATAATCTAGGGCGCAAAGCAAGTCAGCATTTGCGTTGCGGTGCTACTACAATGAGTTCATCTCTGCTTGTGACGAAGAAGCGGAAGCAGTTTCGGCTAAGCGAGAATGTGGCCATTCTTCGGCAATTGGAAGGCAAAAAGCAGGCTGTTGTGACCAAAGAATCGAATCACACCACAGAAATATGGTTGAGCTGAAGGCTTTCGTGCTGCAAAACTTGTGCTGCAAGCGTCAAAAAAAAAAAAAAAAGATCACAGGCATCTTTAAAGTAAACGTGCATTTTTTGGTGTTCACTTGTGCATTTGTTTTTTCTCGTGAAAAACGAGTTCAAGGATCCACCGTTGTAAAGGTAAGTAAGTCCCTTTGGTCGGTAAAAATAAATATTTATGGTTCATTTTGGGCTTTCACTATAACGACCTTTCAAAATAACTAACAAATCGCCGCGGCCCCCTGAAGTTCGTTATATCGGGATTTCACTGTATTCTCTTGCAGGAGCGTCTTGTAGTGTCGCGATGTCAGATTCGAAAGAGTTCGCTGTCAGCGTTCATATTGCCACGGGATCATGATGTTGACGAAGGCAGCAGCCGCTGTTTTCATAAGTGAACTTTTTATTTGGGTGAACCTGTGCCTGGCAAACAAAACGTCACTCG